TATATATAATTTATAAACACAAATTACTAATACAAAGTTTCGACACTATTTCAGAAAACACTTTTTGAATTATCTATCTTAACGATGACATCAGGATTAAACTACTGAATACAAATTAGTTTTTTCGAAACAAATCAACTTGATCTTTTGTTGATCAACAACTATACCAAACATTTATACGAGCTTTATGCAAAAACCACCAATTTCGTTTACCATTAATAAACTTCTAATCTTTATAGTTCAATTTTTTTTCTGTTCAATTTTTTGCAGCAATTGTTCCTCGTTTCATTTAGCTTTCTCTTAGCAACAAATTTTTATGATTAAAATGACAGTGTTTATTAGTTTCGCTAAAAATCTGTTTAACAACAAAATTTAGGTAAGCTCTGCGTAAAGACTTTTCAACGGATATTTCAAACCGCTCGTGTATCCTATCTTTAGATGCTACTGCAGCAGTTAAATACCTCATATTTTTCTGGTATAGATTAAGCTTATAGATCAGTATCGTTTCTAAGATAACTTCTGGTTAATTATTAGATACTTTTTAATTTAATTACTTTTATAATTAATTTGAGACCTCTAGCTTTTTTTTTGCAATCATTCAGACATTAAGAAGTAGATCGTTCTTGTTTTTCTATTTTTGCAACTTAATTATCTTTTTGGTGATCAAGTCTGAAGGTATTCAGATTAACAAGTTGTTTTATTATTTGCAGCAAAAGAAATTGAACTAAGGAACCTAAAAGTTGCAAAAGCTTTTACAATACAATTAGCGACAATTCTTCCAAATGTCCGGCATTTTTGAACTCGTAACGCTCAAAATTTTTCTGCTTTCACTCTCAGAGTAACATTTTTATCTAATAAATTTAGCATAAAGTTCTTGCCTATGAACAACTACTGGAATAATAGAGCACAACAATTTATTAAAATTATAAGAATAAACGACTCATTTTAGTAATATAATTACTTCAATGCAATCAGAGAGTTAGCCCGATCAAAGTGATTAAATAAATAAGAGGAAATAAAAGAAATTCATGCAAAAATATTCTGCTTAATTTAATTGAAATTTCTGATAACATCAGCTGATGGTTATAATTTTTGTCCTGCGCTCAGAATATCTTTCAGCTAAGATTTTTTGCAATTTTTCAATCATGCAGGTTTGAACAAAAGTGTAAAAAGTGAGCGACTGGGTTGTAGAAAGGCGCTAATTCTTAATTTAGATTTAAAACGAGGAGACATAAAGATGTTACATGAAAATACTTGCCAAACGAGATAAGTTTTAAAGTGGTTTAGTTTCTGTCATAAATTTTCTATCTAAATTTATGCTTGATACTATTCAAGAAGAAGTAGCTGACGTAAAAAATAGGCAAAATTCTGCTGTTCTTTCCGTTGACGGTAAATTCTTAGACAGAAGAAAAAAAACACATCATCTGAAGCGATAAATAATTCGCGTTGTGACAAAAGATTAATTCTGCACCAAATTCTACAGTTGCTGTACTTTCCAATAAAGTGTTTCTGTTTTTTAAAATGCATCTTTTAGGAAAGGAATACTTAGTTAAATAAGCAAAAAAAAAGATAACGTTACTAAGAGCCCAATTACTGTATTAAGCCCAATTACTGTAGGAATTTTTGAAACCAAAAATTATAACATTTGTTGCTGCAAAATTCAAAAAAAAAAAAAACTTAAGCCTTAATAAAGCATCATCTTTAAGAGACTTTGGAATCGTAAGCTTAAAAATAAACTATAAAGCATTTATGCAAAAAAAAAAGCGTTACAAAAAGAAAAAGATTATCAAATGTCAAGCGGTGCTTAAAGCAGTAGACGTGACACGTTTTATTCAACTACAACTATTAATTAACCTTACTACTTCTTCTTTTATTCTGTATTTAATTAGTAACAAAAACTATCGTTTAAAATTTGTTGAACGAATGGTTTTAGCAGAAAAATGTTATCTAATGACAGGTAAAAAAGTTTTGCTCGGTTTTTATCTGGTTCATATATTGCTATTAATTTATCTGTGTTTTTTTTTTTTTCTGCTTTGGTTTATAAAAGTATTATTCAATTTTTCAATTAAATAAGTTTGTAATTTTGAAAAACTAAACTGTAAAATTACCTTTAGTTGTTGAAATTGAATGCCTTAGTAAAAGGTCACCACATAACAAATAATATTTTAAAAGCACAAAAAACGAAAATTTGATCAGGAAACAGAATATTAAGTAATAATTCAAATAAATTTGAATAAAAATTACAGCTTAAGAAGATAAGATTCGAAACGAAAAGTACTACAGACTGAAAAGCTGATTTTTTAGGTGCATCTTTGTACGCACTTGGTGAATTTGGTCTGTTCTCGGTACAATTCTCAATTTTTGAGATCTTTCTTTTTTCGGCGTTGATTAGTGCTGTCGATCCGGTAGCCGTTATTGCAGTGTTTGAAGAGATTCATGTCAATGAGTTGTTGTTTATTACAGTTTTTGGAGAATCATTATTCAACGATGGTATTAGTGTGGTTAGTTTTGAATTGCTAAAATAGTATCGTTTGGCTGAGCATTTATATAAATTTTAATTGAAAATTTTTGAACAAAAACGACAATTGTTTTCTTGACTGTATATTTAACAAGACAGATAAAAACTGTTTTTAACTGTTTAGGTACTTTATAATGTGTTCAAAAAATTTACGTTAATTGGAGCTGATAAACTGATTGTTACGGACTATGTAGCTTGTGGTGCAAGTTTTTTTGTTATTGGTTTAGGCGGTGCAGCAATCGGTTTGATTTATGCATTTGTCGTCAGCTTTATCACCAAGTTAGTTTTACGTTTTATAATAGACAATAGTTTACTATGAATCTTGCATAAACACATGGTACACATAATTTCGTGTTTTTTTAGGTACACAGAGAAAGTAAAAGTTTTAAACCCAATATTTATTTTTGTTATTCCATATATTGCCTACTTAAGTGCAGAAATGTTTGGCTTATCATCAATAATGGCGTAAGTTTTCACCTATTAACCACTTTTCGTTTTTTTTTCTCTCTATTAAAGTTCTTAAAGATTAACTTAAACACTAGAAGCCTTATCATTCCTACTGTAAATAACAGTAGTCAAAAATAATCAAGACAGTAAGATTTCTGGAGATAAAAATTTTGCTTATTTAAATAAATTTTAAACAGTTAATCGGATTCTTCTAAAACAATTAGCTAAATTACATAATAAATTCATTGTTTTTTAACAGCTGTTTCTATTATAATTGCCTCTACACAAATGACTCTTTATCATCAGTTATCTGTATCCTTTTTCTAAACGATCTACAGTTCTTAATCTGTACCAAGTTGCTTGTATTTTCAGTATTGTTGCCTGTGGTATGGCCATGAAGCAGTATGTCAAAGGAAATATATCGCATACAGCAATAACATCAGTAAAATACTTTACAAAAATGTTAGCACAAATCTGTGAAACGGTTATATTTATGTTTTTGGGGTTATCCACCATTTCCAGTCATCATCACTGGGATTTTGCATTTATCGCTTTGACAATAATTTTTTGCATGATATACCGTTCCATTGGTAAGTTATAACTTAAAAAACATATAAAAAGACACTAACAGGCGGTGACAGTTGATAACTACAAGAGCTACTTAGCTAAATTTTTGCTAACCCTGTTAGTATTTTCAAAATTCTGTTCTTTCATCGTTTAGGTGTAATAATTCAATGTGCAATATTGAACCGTTTTCGTAAACGACAGTTTTCTGCTGTCGATCAGTTCGTCATGGCATACGGTGGCCTTCGAGGTGCAATCGCATTTGGTTTAGTGGTTTCAATGCCAGAGCAAATTCAAGCAAAAAGCATGTTTACCACTGCCTGTATCGCTGTCATTTACTTCACCGTATTTTTGCAGGTTCATTAAACTAATTATTAATAATCCTCTATTCTGTAAGCTTACGCTTCTGATGATTATTGGTCAGGAACATTAAAGTCAATTATAAAGTGCTATTTCAACAAATGAAGCTCTTTGTCTAGGATCTTTTAAACATTTAATAATTGCTTAGATTTAGGGGATGTCAATACGACCTTTGGTCAATTTTTTGAAAATTGAGCGAGAAGACTTGGAGGGTCCGACGATGATCCAAAGTGTTTATATGAAGGTTTGTGACTCTGCCAATTTTCTTGTAATGCACCAATCCTATATATTCACTTTTACATAAGCCAGTTTTATTGCAGTATTTTGACTACACTATGGCTGGAGTAGAAGATATAGCTGGGCAGAAGGGACATAATTCGATTAGAGATACGTAAGTTCCTGGATGCATGAAAAGCACGTAAACAAAGTACTGATCTAGAATGCGCTTATGACGCTTAGATCATCTTTTCAATTTCCCGCTGATGCTATTTAGTTTGTTCACGCAAATACTAGCCTAGAAAAATATGATTAAATTAATAGTAAAATAAGTGGCCAGAAAATGCTTGAATGAAGTCACCGAGCAAATGTTTGCAGCTTTGAGAGGTTAAATGCAACTATATTACGACCGTTATTAATGCGTGACGAGAAGCGAAGAGGATTTGATGCCTCTAAAATCGTTCGTGCTTACATGAAGATTACACTCAAAGAAGCTATGCAAGCGGCTAACAGTGGAAAACTTTTTTTGGACCATGAAGAATTACCTCAGAAAACGTAATAATGCAGCATAAGTCGGCTTTCTGTAGTATACCTTAGTTCCTTTTCTAAAATTCCTGTTTGCGCATCTGCGAACTAAAGTCTCTGAAATTTTTTTGTTTCAGACGTGATGCAATAAAACGAGCTTCCCACTGTGAAGGCGAAGTCCTATCCGCCAGATTAGTAGTGCCATCTCAACCACCCAAAGCTCAAGATACATCACTGAAGGATGAGTTGAACAAAGTGTGTAGATATTCTCTATAAGTAGCCGTTTTGAAACTTACCTATTCTATACGAGTAAGGGGTAAATCTCCATCCAATTTATAACAAGAATTACGCAAGCAAAGAAGAACGTATATATACGTCTTGCACGTTTGTCTTGTAGATAAAAGTTATGATGAAACAAAAGAAAAAAATAATTATTTCTAGTATTTATCATCTGCCGAAAACCAAGAGGCACTTTACATGATGTTCAGTTCTTTATTGGACAGAAAGCTCAGAGAACTGAGAGCAAGTGGATCGGAAGTTGAAGAAGACGGTAGTGACATTGAGGATGACTATATGAGAGAAATCATTGGTTCTGGTCACGGTCACGGATCAACCAGCAATATTACCGAGGTCAGTTATGAATTCATTCCCGTCGGTGATCCACTAAATCTGTTCCAAAGAAA